GTGTTGCCAAGTTTAATCGGTTAGATAAAAGAAGTGAAAGTGAGTTGTGACTGGAATGCTCAACTTCCCAGCCTAGACACCTGATTGGATAAAAAGCCAGCCAAGGGAGGTAATAAAATCATGGGGCCAAGCCGTAGATGCATCCAGGGTGTAGTGGATATTTATCGGAACGTATATCCTGGAGATTATCTAGGATGGTTGAATGAGGCAGTTACAGTTTTCATGATGTAGTTCAGACAGCATAGCAGATAACCAATGACAGTTCGCTGAAGGGGTCATCGGCACAGGTACTACAGATATGTAGGCATGTATACAGAAATGTACCCTTAACAAAGTGAGAATACAGAAACTCTATCCTGAACGGTGGGCGAGTCCATGTTCCACAACCCCAAACTGAAACATATACATGTAGCTGTTACCGTTCAGCTGATTACCAGGTGTAAATTGTGCATTGTGAAATATTTGCTACTGTGGATGCTTGTATCTTGCATAATGAAATCAAATGCATCTAATGCAACAATATGACAGTTTCGATCAAGAAACTGCACAATGCAGAATGGATTCGCCCTTTGGTACGTTTCTGTGTTCATATTTTGACTAGGGTATATTTCTGTTTGCAGAAACATATCTGGGGTACACATCTGTAGTACCTGTCAGAGGTGGAAATAACCCATTGCCCGACGCCCGAGTCCAGTGTTTTTTTTCTGTCGGGCAAGCAAATTTGTATATCACACTGTACCGGTGTCCAGTTGATATTCCAATGTTAATTATGTTGTTTGTTTATAAAATCAACAAGAAAACGGCCGGTATAGTGGAAAAATTATCAGGGCAAGTGATTTTACATGTGCCACTGTACCGGAGTACACTAGCAATTTTAAAGTTATTTCCACCCCTGCCTGTGCTGACAATGACACTTTCAGCAACAGTTACTGACACTTCCAAAGGTTCAGTTGGAAAAATAATGCTTCTTTCTTAGCTGTGCTTTCGATTCCCCATGATTTGGTACAATGTGTGAAGCTCATTTCTGGTGTCCCCTGCCGTGATGTTGCTGCAATATTACTAAAAGCAGTGTAAAACCTCACTCACCCACTCACTTCCTAGGCTGAAATTGCTGTAGAAATGGTGCAGGTATCACTTCTCGTGTACTTTTCAATTACCAGATTTACATAGACTTTGGGGGCGTTGGGGTAGCCTAGTGGTTAAAGCGTTCACTTGTCACGCCAAAGACCCGGGTCCTATTCCCCACATGGGTACAATGTGTGAAGCCCATTTCTGGTGTCCCCTGCCGTGATGTTGCTGCAATATTACTAAAAGCAGTGTAAAACCTCACTCACTCACTACCTAGTCTGAAATTGCTGTAGAAATGGTGCAGGTATCACTTCTTGTGTACTTTTCAATTACCAGAATTACATAGACTTTGGGGGGTGGTGCAGTAGCCTAGTGGTTAATGCGTTGGCTCGTCACGCCGAAGACCTGGGTTCGATTCCCCACATGGGCACAATGTGTGAAGCCCATTTTTGGTGTCCCCCGCCGTGACATTGCTGGAGTATTGCTAAAAACGGCGTAAAACTAAACTCAGTCAGTCAGTCAGTCAGACATAGTCTTTGGGGGCGTTGGGGTAGCCTAGTGGTTAAAGCGTTCACTTGTCACGCCAAAGACCTGGGTTCTATTCCCCACATGGGTACAATGTGCGAAGCCCATTTCCGGTGTCTCCAGTTGTGATATTGCTGGAATATTTCTAAAAACGCCTTAAAACCAAACTTACTCACTCACACATGGACTTTGTAAACATTAACTGTATGTCATATGCCATATTGCCTTTGGATTTTTTGGTAACAATAAGACAGGATACTCTTATGGATGTGAACTTCTTTATCTTATTAAGATGCAGCATTTTGGTATAAAGTAAATATCTTATGATAAAACTGGAATGTCTTACAGAGTATATTTGGACAATGTTTGAAATTTTAGATCACACAATTGTGGTCAGAAATGGAAGCATGGTGTGCAATGAACCAAGGGTTAACTTTGTGGCATTCAAAGCATGGGTAATGTTTCGCTTAAGGGACCGTTCATAATTTATGGCTAGGGGGCCCTGGGGTGATAATGATTTTCATGGAGAAGCATGTACAATGTGAATGACCTCCCTAAAAATTTATGTCCACGTAAGTGAACTCCCCCGTGTGTCATGTACAAAATCAGTGAGAGATTTTGCATAAAATATTTTGCATTTTGGAGCTAAGTAACCTTTAGATTTAACCCACTAACTTGAATATGGAGACCAAAATTGCAGCCTGAGGGTTCACATGTTAAATTTGTCATGGGTAAAGGGGCGGTGGGGTAGCCTAATGGTTAAAGTGTCTGCTCGTCATACTGAAACCCTGGGTTCAATTCCCAACGTGGGTACATTGTGTGAAGCCCATTTCTGGTGTCCCCCGCTGTGATATTGCTGGGATATTGCTAAAGGTGGCATAAAACCACACTCACTCACTCAATGTTAAGGCTTCCTTGCTCTACTCAGAAAACACCACAATAAAGTCTTTGGTTTCGGCAGTTATGAGTTAATACAGTAAAAATGGAAGACTTCTCTGTTTTGTGTGGGTTTAATGCAGCTGTAAAATCAGCTGTTTCAATCAGCTGTTTGCTGGGATTTGATACCTCTGACTAACCAATGTGTATTTTCCAAATTCATGTTTGTGAATATGACTTACTAATGAGGATTATTAGCTGGAAACCTACTGGAAGTGTCATGGCTGTTGTTTTCAGCCCATGCTTTCTGTTTATCTTTTAGATCTGAAGGTGCCAAAGACACGTAAAGATGACATAATTGCTGTACATCCTAGCACTATGCTACTATGTGGCCTTGCTATAGGAAAACCCTGTATTATCAACTCTAAAGTTGTCAAGACATGTTGGCCTTCAACTGTTGGGAGTTTAACTGGTGTCTACGTTGATGAGAAAACCTTGGCTGACATCGGCAGCAAGAAGGAGGATGTCGTCACAGTGGAGAGTTTTGGTGGAGTGGAATCACTTGCTGAAGAAGTCATATTAGAATCCAAGTAAGCATGGGATGTAGTTACAAATAGACTGTACTGTTTCAGATGTTATGATAACTAACAGGACATAATGCCTCATCAGGAGTCTGGATTAAAATGGTCCCCAGCAACTAGTGTTGTTCTGTGAGGTGACATTAAGGATCAGGTGATCAAGCTGGGTGAATTTCAGTTATCACAGTATTTTATGTTGCAGAAACGTTCTTATTTTAGTAGTTTCATTGACATCATTTTGATTTCATTCCTGTTTTCTTCCAGAGAATGGAGACCAGTATACTCTGATAAAAACTGTAAGAACAGCTTCAAACATAAACTAAGTAAGTTACACCTTCATATTTTTCAAAATGACTTCCATAATGTTTTTGACATGTTACATTTTGCGATGGTAAATATTATGGAAATTTGATAGTGATTTTTCAGTACTGATACAGTGATACTGTTCAAGGAAGGCTTGAAATTTCAAGTGCATAGTTGAAAGGTATTGGAAAAAACATTTGGCTTGAGATTGTAGTTTACTGGGTTTTAAGTAAGTTTGGGGGTCAATTTTTAAGGGTCGATGCATTTGCGAACAAGTTAATGGGTGTCCTCCCAAAAGTTAGACGTCCCAAAAGTTAGACGTGTTAAAACAACCAAGGTTATGGTTGGTTGCACTCCGGTTCACTACACTGTTACCTTCGTTAATTAATGGACTAGTCCAAATGTACTAATCCAAACATAAAGAGAAGAGATTATGGATAATGACAATGACTTTATTTGACATAAAATAAAATAAAATAAGTTAATTCAACAAGATAATTTAAATGATCAATGGATGACTTTGTATTGACTTTATTTGGCATAAAAACAAAATAAGTTAATTTAACAAGATAATTTAAATGGTCAATCAAATCATTCAAGATTTAAGATTTCACATCTTTCTGAGCAAATGCCCAACTGCATCGATGAACTCCAGGTTTGTCATCCCTTCTGCACGCAGTCTCTCTTGCAGACGCATCAGCCTGTTCTCAGTTTCCCTGTAGACCTTCTTCCTCTTTGTGGGAGCAGCACCAACATTGATCTGCTGGAGTTTAGCTCTCTCTGCGATCTCAATCTTCTGGATGATCTCTACAAATCGGTAGATGTTAGGATAGTGATGTGGGAGTGCCTTGTTTAATCTACTGTGGAGGCCTTCCAGGTTGTTGTTTGTGCGAGGGCCGACAGTCTGTAGGGCCCCATAATCATGTTTTGATCAAAGTGAACATTGTGAAAACAAGTATGCAAAATCTATAATCATGTTTTGATAAAATTGAACATTGTGGAAACACATTTGGAAAACCAAGTGATTGAGTAAGTCGGTCAACATTAGTATTCTGATCAAAGTATTTCTGTACAAATGTGACACCCATCTCGTTAGTGTATGGGACAGGTTCATTATATCAGTGGGTAAGACTAGGTTGTAATCACAGTCACGTCTGATTGATTTGTCTGACAAATGGGATGTATGACTTTTGGGACGTCTAACTTTTGGGAGTAAACCAGTTAATGTACTTATTCAAAGAGTGCAGCATGGGAACTCTCAGATGTATAACGAAAGTAACTTCAGACTGAATATACCACAAGAGGGAGATAATTTTATTTCACATTTTTAACACAGAGGTACAATGCAAAATGAAAGCTTAAATATTGTGGTAATTTATTTGCTTATGATTTCCTGGAAATTCCGTAAAAATTTGTCAGTCATGTGTTTGAAAAAACATAGTTATCGATATTGCAACATTTTATATTCTGCCAAATTTAGAGCAGGCTAATGTGGAAAGTAAGATAGTAAATTGACGAAGCCCTGATGGCAGGAGGATTGACCATTGAAATGGACATATGTCCAGCAATATTCGGGGACCACACAGATTTTGGCTACCTATGTATACCTATGTATATTAAAACTTCATATGCATTTTGTTTCAGTGAACAGATATTTGTGTGAAGGAAACGCAGTTACTTTATCATATTTTGGTCAGCAGTGTGAATTTCAAGTAAAATGCCTGAAGGCAATGGTGAAGCAACTCTGTCTTGTTGAAGTGATACCTGTCAATCAGCCTGACTTGTCGTTATCTGACAGCATAGCCAGTCTCAACTTATCCGACATTTCATTTAGTGAGTCGAAGGATGAATCCAGTCAGTCTGACTCTACCTGCTCCAGCATGAACCAATCAGTGTCAACGCCCAAAACACCTGACAGTAAAACCAGTACAGTGGAAGTCACCAGTCCGCGAGCATTTCAAACTCCAGTCATCCATAGACACAGAAAATCAAGGAAATGTGAAAAGTTTTGTAAAGTTGTGTCGTCTACGAAGGTGACAGTGGTGGATGCTAATGTTAAAGAGGACGCTGATGTCGTACGCAATGCTGGAGTCATGTTGGATGATGTTGGAGGTTTGTCCGAGCAAGTGAAGCAGATAACAGAGATGGTGCAGATTCCCCTCACCAACCCGGAGCTGTTCAAGTCTTATGGTGAGAATATGGCCCTGTAGAAACTGAAATGAAACACTGATGATGATGATGATGATGATGATGATGATGATGATAGAAAGCATGATGGTGGTAGTGGTGATGGATGGATGGATGGAGGTGACTGATGTAGTAGATGATGTTAATGTTGGTGATAGTCATGTCTGTCATCATGCTAATGATGGTGTTGCTATATTGAGTTGGTGTTGTTTTACACTGCTTCTTAGCAATATTCCAGCAATATCTCGGCGGGGAACACCAGAAATGGGCTTCACCCAATGTACCCATGTGGGGAATCAAACCCGGGTCTTCGGCGCAATGAGCGAATGCTTTATCCACTAGGCTACCCCACCGTCCCTGTCGCTATATAATAATGGTGGTGATGGTGACGCTTGTGGGAGAGGAGAATGGTAGTTTCAGGTTCATGGTTCTTTGGTGGATGGTGTTGATGATGCTGATAGTGATGTCTTTGATGAGGCTCTTGAAGCTAGGTTTAGTTTGGGAAAAGTAATGGATTACTAGTAGTTAATTCACTTTATTTCGTATCTCTGTGCCATTGTAATCCGTTTAATGTATATCGCATGTTTATCGTGTGGATTTGTTATTAGAATTTGACCCCATCAACCCATTCATGCCGTACAGAGCGACTTGGGTGGTCAGATACACTGACTTAACTGATTGTGTCTTTTTGTGTGCCAATTAGGGCTGCAACGATTCACCCAGACCTCGATTTGATTCGATTTTCGATATTGGACGCTCAATTCGATTCGATTTTCGATATTGGACCCTCGATTCAATCATTTTCGATTTGATTCTTCATGCAAGTAAAAACATCAGATTTTATTTAACGTTCAGAGTTGGCTTTTTTATCATGAAATACATCGTCAACTTGGCGATGTCTACTAACAACAATTGTCATTTTATTATTAGCCTGGCGTCAATCAATCACGTTTCACCTTATTTCAGCGCTCCAAACTGCTTGAGTTGGAGTCAAAATTACGTTCTGGCTGTGTGGAAATAATTTGAATAGGTATTCAAATATCAAATCGAAAAAGTAATAATGGTTATCGAAAAATCGAAACTAAGGTGTTAGATTCAATTGTCAATAAATCAAACCGAATCGTTGCAGCCCTAGTGCCGATTAATAATAATAATAATGCTAATTTTTGCGCCTAGAATCCAACACGATGCTGCTCTCTGGAGTTACATAACTACCCTGATGGAATTGTACTTTCAAAGCCGCTACTAAGCGCTTCACGCGACCGTATAGGTCTGTACATCCGCTTCTCAGGTACCCATTTTGAACAGCTGGGTGGACTGAGTGCAACGTGGACAAAGTGCCTTTCCCAGGGACACAACACAGTATGAGACCCAGGTCACAAATTTTGGTGTCTCCACCGGGGATTTCGAACCTGGGCCTTTGGCGTGAGAGGCCAGCATGCTAACCACTACACCACTGTGCTCCACAAATTACATGGATCTTTGCACACAATATCATTTGCTGGTGTGTTTGGTCAAGACTCACTTATTTACAGGTCACTTCCCATAGCTGGAATATCACAGAGAGTGGCCAGGCATGAGGCAACAAACACTATCCTGATATACTGATGCTTGTTCTCTTTCAGGCCTTGTCCCTCCCAGGGGAGTGTTGATCCATGGGCCGTCCGGGCACAGGGAAGACCCTTCTAGCACGAGCTGTGGCCGCTAGTCTCAACATCAACGTCCTGCATGTGACAGGTCCGCAGATCTGGAGCAAGTATGTCATGATGATGATGATTGACTTAAGCAAGTGTTTTACGGCTTAAGATAAACATGTTTCTATGTCATGTTGCTTCACTCTACATTCTTCAATATTCCAGATAGATGATATAGTCTGTAAATAATCAAATCTTGACTGGGAAGTACAGTAATTGATATCATAATATTGGGATATGATGACAGGCTTTAGCTGATCTTGCAGCTCAATCCTGTCGCTTATCATGACAAGGTATGGTTTGCTAAAGACTAATTATGATGTAGATCTTCACAGGGAAGATAAACTTATAGATGATGATTATTGATAGTAACAAGTTGATGCTTCATCATAAGATCAACACTTCCTTCATGTGCATTCTTTCTTCTCAGATTCTTTGGAGAAACAGAAAGTAAGCTGAGGAATATTTTCAAGTCTGCCCAAGAGATGTAAGTAAAAATTGAAAATAGATATGTTTTGTAACCTATAACATATCTGTGCAGTTAACGCAAGGCAACGGCATACTGCTTTCTGATTTCTATTTTGAGGTGGGCTCTATCCTGGCACCTCAAGCTCACTGGATCACTTGTATGGTGCCTTAGACAGCTCGCCCACCATGCCCCCTTACATTGTGACAAATTACTTTTGTTGGGTGTAAATTCAGTCAGGGTTGTGCCTTTATGTCCTGTGTCCGAGATATCTTTCAATAAATGCACATTACGTCAAAAATTGTCGTTTATTTGTTGATCAAAAGATGAAAGAGTAGGATGAGGGCCATTTCCAGCAAACTGTCAATTTGACGTCAGTCATTTATTTTAGGAGCATATAATCTGAAATACGTGTGTGCAAGTCCCGAAGAATATGCATGTTGTTCTCATTTAATTTTAATAACATTTTCTAAAAATTTTCTTCTTCTTTAAACTGCACATCACATGAACAAAACACAACCCCTATTGTACCTGGTTCTTTATCAAAGTGGCCCATTATAAGATTACAGTGTTGTGAGTCCTTCATTCTGTCCAGGGCTCCGAGCATCATTGTAATAGACGAACTCGATGCACTGTGCCCCAAGAGAGACAACTCTAACAGTGATCTTGAGAAGCGGGTGGTGGCCAGCCTGCTGACTCTCATGGATGGCATCGATGTATGTACTCGAATGTTGATACATGTTCACATACTGCACTGTTGGGATCAATGTTTACTCAAGTTGACCTATCTGTTTCTTGGACATTGATTCAAATTATTTTTTATTACTAATCAACTGCTGTAAAAGAGATGCAGTAAAGCACTTTTGGAATGTGTATAGAAATAATCATTGATTCATAAGTGATGGCAAGGAGAAGAGGTTGCCAGAATCTGTTCCTGGTGTGTGATAGCCAACACGGAGGTTGTGTAGTTGCTATCCAGATTTATCTGAAATATTACTGGTAGCAGAATTGCATAATAATAATAATAATAATAAAAAATAATAATAGTCCATTTGTAATGCGCATTTCTCCACGCATAATGCATGCTCGAAGCACCCAGAGTTGAAAGTACACAGCACAGGATTGAAATAAGTTAATTTGATACACTTCAGCATGTAGGGTAGGCTTTTTTGAAACAGATAAGTTTTCAGATTTGATCTGAGTGACTTGATATATTTACAGTTCACTGTCATACATTGATTAAGAAATCAACATGAAGGTTTTGGAAAAGGACCTATTTGATTTGTTTGTTTCAGTGCAGTAGTGACAAGATGGTGGTTGTGCTTGGGGTGACCAGTAAACCGGACGCTTTGGATGCTGCGCTGAGACGTCCGGGTCGGTTTGACCGGGAGGTGGAGGTAGGGGTCCCCACTGCCAAACAGAGGCTGGAGGTAAGTACTGGGATGTCGGGGATCATAGTTGTTTGGGGGTTATTGGATTTCCTGGAAATATTATAAATAATGGCTCTATATTTAATAGTTGTTGAAAGGTTGTTTTTAGAATATTTGGTTTGATTAGACACCAAAGTGTCTTTTTTGTGCTCTGTGTGTCTGTCAACATGTACATATTGTAATATTTTAAACCAGATTTAAGATAATCATCTATTTGACCCTTATGTCAGATACTTGAGAAGCTGTTGAAGAAGACCCCAAACACGCTGACCACTGAGGAGCTGGCAGATGTTGCTGATGCTGCTCATGGCTTTGTAGGGGCTGACCTGGCAGCAATTTGTAAAGAAGGTGGGTTTGTAGTTTTATTTGATCTGAGATATCGGTATCGTGCCTGCTGATCCATTGACTTCCCATGGACATCTGGGTTAGAACTGATCTTCAGCATGTTATGCTTGTCATAAGAAGCGACCAATGTAATCGAGTGGTCAGACGTGCCAACTTGGCTGGAGCATGTCATCTTCTCCCACTTGCATAGATTGATGCTCATGGTGTCAATCACTGGATTGTCTTGTCCAGACCTGTTGTTTTACCGACTGCCAACATATAGTAAGAATGTCCCTGAATGTGACAATAAGCACAAGCAATAATAATCCATTGACTGCAGAGCTTGTTGGGCTTTGATGTCAAGGGAGATAACTCATGAACATTTCTCTCCCTCTACAGCTGGCCTGCATGCTGTGAAGAGGAAGATACACACTGGGAATAAGCAGCTGTTGGTATGCAGGGAGGACGTGGTGTATGCCTTGTCAACTGTTCAGCCTAGTGCCATGAGGGAGGTGCAGCTGGAGGTGCCGAAGGTAATTAAGGGGCCAAGGGGAGTTTATTATTAGAGACAGTAGAGACAACTCGGTCCTTATTAGTAGCGAGACAAATGTGATGGAACGTTATGGTTGCTCATCAGAGGAGGGAGACTGGGTGGGAGTGACATGGAGTTAAGAGGTGGTGAGATTTTGTGAGTTATGGGGTCACATTGGAATGACATTGAAAAATTATATGTTATATGTGGGATTACACTTTCTCAGTAATTGGCATTGTGTTTTCAATTGGATGAAGATAGAAAACAAATGGAAAAAAATATATGTATGTGTTATTCTGTATTCTTGCAGGTCCTGTGGTCGGACATCGGTGGTCAGGCTGAGCTGAAACTAAAACTGAAACAGGCAATAGAGTGGCCCCTAAAACACCCTGAGTCTTTTAAGAGGCTCGGCATTAACCCTCCCAAAGGCCTGCTCATGTATGGACCTCCAGGATGCTCTAAGACTATGATAGCTAAAGCCCTGGCTACAGAGAGTGGCCTCAACTTTATAGCTGTCAAGGTAAATAACGAATAATGAGAGAAGATGAATAGCTAAGTGCAGTCAGAAGAATGTCAATGTGTACTCTTTTGAATTTGTGTATCCCCAAAGAAGAAGAATATATTTGATCCATCTTGAAACTCGGTAAACAAGGTTGATGATAAGCCACTGTGCTGTTCAGCACGTGATGATATCCTGTGTATATCTGGGGTTTGTAGTTGTTGAATTAGTTATATATCCTGTGTATATCCAGGGCCATGAGTTGTTCAGCTAGTATATATCCTGTGTATATCCAAGGCCCTGAGTTGTTCAGCTAGTATATATCCTGTGTATATCCAGGGCCATGAGTTGTTCAGCTAGTATATATCCTGTGTATATCCAAGGCCCTGAGTTGTTCAGCTAGTATATATCCTGTGTATATCCAGGGCCATGAGTTGTTCAGCTAGTATATATCCAGTGTATATCCAGGGCCCTGAGTTGTTCAGCAAGTGATATATCCAGTGTATATCCAGGGCCCTGACTTGTTCAGCTAGTATATATACTGTGTATATCTGGGGCCCTGAGTTGTTCAGCTAGTATATATACTGTGTATATCTGGGGCCCTGACTTGTTCAGCTAGTATATATCCTGTGTATATCCAGGGCCCTGAGTTGTTCAGCTAGTTGTATCCTGTGTATATATTCAGGGCCCTGAGTTGTTCAGCAAGTGATATATCCTGTGTCTATCCAGGGCCCTGAGTTGTTCAGCAAGTGGGTAGGGGAGTCTGAGCGCATGCGGTGAGGGAAGTGTTCAGGAAGGCTCGCGTGCTGCTGCTCCGCTGTGATCTTCTTTGATGAGATAGATGCACTGGCTGTAGAGAGAGGGAGGTAGGTAGCCTCTGGACTCATGTCGACACATATACATGTCAGGGTGCCGCTGTACAAAGCTTACCTGAGCTAAGGTGACCAAATCCCATACCTTAGCATAAACTTAAGGTAGCCTTAGCTTAAGGTTGTTTTGTACAACGGCACCCTGGACAATCTGCATAACACCGAGGAAGGTGTTTTTTACACAGTTTTATAAAAGCTATCTATGAATGCCTTTTGTGGGAGTTGATAAGCTAACCTACACTAAGCTGACTCATCCTAACTACATTGAAATATGACTGAAGTTGCCACATGTGATAACTTGCTGTAGCATGGTAATTGCCGCTAGTTCGTATGGTTCAGACTTGGCTCATCTGGAGGCATGAATGTGGCAGACTTTACATCTGTCTGAGTCATGTTACGCCCACTGTTCTCAGTTCATCTTGAGACATTACTGTGGTATAAATCATGTTACACCTGTTCCCAGTTCTTCTGGAGGCAGTAACGTGGCAGACCGTGTACTTGCGCAGTTGCTGACGGAGATCGACGGAGTTGAGAAGCTACAGGATGTCACCATTGTTGCTGCCACCAACAGACCGGACATGATAGACCAGGTGGGAATGAATCTTACTTTCAATGTTTCTCTACATACAGAGGTCACTTGTGCTCGGTACTAGCCTCTGAGCAGGTCTCGATAAACCCTTGTAGAATTCATTGATAATACTTTTTGAATCTTAAAGCCCGTGGAATAAGCTTGGACCTCCTGAGGCCATGAAATTTTGAAAAATGTCCAAATGGGTTTAAACCTCAATTCAGTCATCCAGTGCCAACACAATTAAAGCAGTGTACGGTGCAAGGTTGTATGACCTGTCTGGTGTAGTGTGTCATTCCCAGTGTACACTGATGCATGTGCTATGAGTCACTAGCATTTTTTCAGACTGACAGTCTTTTTGTAAAGAGACTCATGTAGGAGAAATATTTGTCTTCAAAATGTGATTTCCATCACTGTGCAATCAACTTTCTATCGCAGGCCCTACTGCGTCCTGGGAGAATTGATCGGATCCTATATGTTCCCTTGCCCTCACCAGACACACGGAAGGAAATATTTCAGCTGCATCTGAAGCGGATGCCTGTTGATGTTGATGTCAGTGTGGATGATCTGGTTGAGGAGACTGACAAATACTCAGGGGCTGAGGTGTGTATTGCTATAATCTGAGAATGTTCCTGTGTATGCATCACTGTTAGGTCGAGGGCTTCTTTGACCTTTGCTTGTGGTTTATTTCTTTTCTAAAAAAATCTCAATATAACATTTAGCATTTACTTTTAGCCTCCAAATACATTCGTCAGTAAACTGTGCTATGTTATGGAACATTACATGCTTTATATCAAAAGGACCTGTGAACATCTGGGTTAGAATTGGTCTTTAGCAACCCATGCTTGTTTTAAGAGGGGACTAACAGGACTGGGTGGCCAGACTTACGGACTGCTGTGATATTGCTGTAATATTGCGTAAGCGGTGTTAAACTAAACTCACTCATACTTACGGACTTGGTTGACATGTCACACATGTTCTTGATCATTGGATTGTCGGGTCCAGACTTGACTGTTCAAATTTTCATGCTTAGAGTAGGGCTCATTTGACCTTTGTGAGTTCTGCGACTAAAACTCAGTATGTCACTATTACATGGCCTGTCTTGTTCAGGGCATGGAGGAACGTAGTCAACACTGTAGTAAAGCTGTGTATTACTGCCAGTGGTAAAGTCAAATTACAGTCAAATCCCGATGAGTCGAATGCCGGTGTCTCGAATATTATGCATAACTCGAAGTACCTGTCGGTCCCGACCATTCCCTGTTATAGTTGTCATCATTTGAATACTGGTTACACAAATTCGACTCATAAATACACACGATGACTCGAGAAGAAAATTTGGTCCCATGAGATTCAAACAACAGCAATCTTGTATACATAAGCCGAAGTCAGTCAATGAGAAGTTGATTGGTGTAGCAAACTGATCAAATTAACAAACCAGAGCGGCTTACACCTTTCCGCCATTGACGGGTGAGTTCAAAAGGCAGATTAGTGATTTTACGGAAATAACTGTCTGTGCTAATCAGACTGGAACTGATAAGGTGCCCCTATTAGTGACAGGGAAATCATTAGATAAAGAAATGCTTAGGCGGAGGTATTAGGACTGGATCCTCTTTTTTTCTACCCTTATAGACATACCTATGTCTCGAATACATCCATAAGTCGAATTTATTACTTGGTCCCCAGAGATTTGACTCATCGGGATTTGACTGTATGTATTTTTGCAGGTGTCGGCAGTATGTCACGAGGCAGCACTGTTTGCTCTACAGGAAGATATCCACATCTGTGTCGTCGCACACAGACATTTCACGGAGGCTCTGACCACAGTGAAGCCTCGTATCAGTCACCAGAAACTTCTGTTTTATGAGACATACAGCAAACAGAGCGGGCCTGCATGCTCTGTGACAGATTACAAATAACTGCAAGTGCTTCTCACATGGTGCCGCTGCTTGGAGACTGAAATGTTGGTGGTTCCAGGCTGACCATCAGCTACGAAACAACTTTAAAAGATGGTGCTTATTGGTTACTTTCTTGCTGTTTTGCATCAAAGGAACACGGACTGGTCAGCTGAAAGTCAGTGTGGGGTGCTATGTCCAAATGGGTATCACCTGTATTATGTTACACTGTGGTAAGGTAGTTCAGTTGGCTGGCCCTACGGAACCAGTATTTCCCCAGACTGTACAAGCCATCACACAAGAACACACACACATGTGCAAGCTGTTACATGTAAGGGGCGGTGGGGTAGCCTAGTGATTAAAGCGTTGGCTCGTCATGCTGAAGACCCGGGTTCGAATCCCCACATGTGTACAATGTGTGAAGCCCATTTCTGGTGTCCCCCCACCGTGATGTTGCTGGAATATTGCTAAAAGCGGCGTAAAACCAAACTCAGTCAGTCAGTCAGTGTTACATGCAATAGTCTAGAATGGGTTTTAAAACTAATCTCACCTCACCAATTTGAAGGTGCACATGTAAATTATGTTTGTACGAACATTCTTCAGCTGTGTGCTTCTGATCCATCATCTGTACTGTGAAACAGTGACCCACATTTCATACACAGATGTAATCATTGTCAGGAGCAAGTACAGTGTTTCAAAGTCTGTGACATTTTGAAATTTGCTAATAAATACATTTTCTACATGTTGAGTTAAAGTGTGACAATTGTAACCTGATGGTCTGTTCACAGGAATGGTTTATTTACCTGAGTCAGGATATCATTAATGACAAGAGTAATCTGATAAGGGGCCAGTGTTGTAGTCTTGTGGTTAGAGTGTTTGCTTGTCATACTGAAGGTGCTGGTTCAATTTCCCCAAATGTATGTGTAGCGGCCATAAAATTACCGAGTCCCGTGCTGGGATTCGAACCACAGACCTTCTGATGAGAAGTCGGACGCCTTGTCCACATGACCAAAGAGGTTAAGGATGTCATCTGTGGGATGACTCCACGCCCTGCTACATATGTATCATATTTCCGAGGTCCTTTGCTGTCATATTACTGAAATATTGCAAAAAGAGTCATATTAATGTAGCTACTCACTGTGATAAGATTACCTTGATCACAACTGCCTTGTATAAGAGTTCCTTATTTCCCCTGTCTTTTAATTTGCCCCAAGATATCTATGCTGGACATGAGAGTCAGTAGATTGGATGGTCTGTGTAGATAGTTTATTCATTTTGAGGTTAGCTTTGAATAGATGCTGATTTTGTTTCTACAACTGAAACAAGTCATTCAGAACAACATTAACATATCAACCATTGATGAATATCTGTTATTCAGGAATGATCAGGTTGTTGTTTTGGTTTTTTTAAATGAATAAAATAAACACTGCATGTTAAGCAGGGTTTTGGGTGACAGAATGAATTGTGTGTATATCATGATGGCATGTATCACAAAGGTGACCATGTTACAAAATCCAAGAATTCCATGGAAATTATGACCCCTGTGTATGTCCAGTGACGGGCTTGATTACAGATATATGTGCCAGGATACTGCACAAATAGAAATATGACATCTTTAGTAACAAGGTTAAGTTTCATAATACAGTAGCATGTCCACAGTGGTACCTGTGTTGATATTAAGAGGTGGCAAAGGTTGTCCAACCAATCAATAATCAGGCCTGTGAAGATCCGGGTCAGAATTGGTCTCCAGCAACACATGTCAAGAAGAGGCGACTAACGGGATCGGGTGGTTAGATCCCTGACTTGGTTGACACGTGTCATATCCCAGTTGTATAGATGGTTAGTCACTGGATTGTTTGGTCCAGAATAGATTATTTACAGACCACCATCAAATAGCTAGAATGTGGCTGAGTGCAGTGTTAAACAACACACAACCAAAGACACAAGCGCCCAGTATCAGCATTTAAATGGCTGCTTGTTCCTCACAATGTCTTAGAATGTAGTATCACGATATATATCATAACTTGACCTCAGTATCGAGATACGTATCATATTGTCACCTCAGTATCAAAATACGTATCCTATTGTGACCTCAATAACAAGATACGTATTCGTATGTTGATGCAACTGTATCGAAATACATATCGTATGGTGACCATTACTAACGACGATATGTATCGTGTGTGACCTCAGTATATGAAATCGATACGTAACCTCGTATCGAGATGTTATATGATGGTGATGCAATTGTATCGAAATATGTATCGTATGGTGACCTTAGTATCTAAACATGTATCGTGTCATGTGAACCCAGTATCAATATACAATCATACTGTGACCTCAGTATGGAGATACATATCGCATGGTGATGCAGCTATAGAAATACATATCGTATCGTGACCTCAGTATCGATACATGTATATTGTGACCTCATTATCGATTTACATGGTCATAGGCGACCTATATAGAAATACGTGTTGTATGTGACCTCATTATCGAATTTACATATCGTACTGTGACCTCAGTATGGAGATAATGTATCCTATGGTGAGGCAATTGTATCGACATAAGCATCATATAGAAATACATATCGATATATGTATCGTGTCATGACCTCAGTATCGATATACATATCGACTGTGACCTCAGTATGGAGATACGTATCCTATGGTGAGGCAACTGTATAGAAATACATATCGTGTCGTGACCTCAGTATCGATATACGTGATTGTATCGTGACCTCAGTATCCAAATAATGTATCGTATTGTGACCTCAGTATCGACATACATATCGAACTGTGACCTCAGTATCGAGATACATGATCGTATGTTGAGGCAACTGTATCGAAAATACGCATCGTATGGTGACCTCTAGCATCATACTGTATAGACCTCATATGTATCGTATCACTGTGACCTCAGTATCGATATCATATCGTATCGTGACCTTTATCGATATATGTATCGCATATCAGTGACCTCAGTATCGATATATGTATCGTATTGTGACCTCAGTATCGATATACATGCTCATTACTGTGACCTCAGTATGGAGATACGTATCCCATGGTGAGGCAACTGTATAGATATAGCGTAATATCGTGACCTCAGTATCGACATATGCATGTCGTTGTGACCTCAGTATCGATGTACATCCGTATCGTGACAACTGTATCGACATACATATCACTGTGACCTCAGTATCCAAATACGTATCCTATCGTGACCTCAGTGTCGATATACATATTGTGCCGTGACCTCAGTATGGTGCGTGCGTATCATATGTGATGGCGACTGTATCGGTATATCGATTGTGATCGTGATCTCACTGCATCGACATACATATTGTACTGTGACCTCAGTATGGAGATACGTATCGTATGGTGAGGCAACTATAGAAATGCTGTATCGTATTGTGACCACAGTATCGATATCGTATCGTATTGTGACCTCAGTATCGATATACATATTGTACTGTGACCTCAGTATGGAGATACGTATCCTATGGTGAGGCAACTGTATAGAAATATGTATCGTATTGTGACCACAGCATCGATATACACATCGTTGACCTCAGTATCGATATACATATTGTACTGTGACCTCAGTATGGAGATACGTATCCTATGGTGAGGCAACTGTATAGAAATATGTATCGTATTGTGACCACAGTATCGATATACGCACCGTATCGTGACCTCAGTATCGATATACATATTGTACTGTGACCTCAGTATGGAGATACGTATCCTATGGTGAGGCAACTGTATAGAAATATGTATCGTATTGTGACCACAGCATCGATATACGTATCACATCTTGACCTCAGTATCGATATACGTATCGTATTGTGACCTCAGTATGGAGATACGTATCGTATGGTGAGGCAACTGGATTGAAATACGTATCGTATTGTGACCACAGTATCGATATACGTATCGTATTGTGACCTCAGTATCGATGTACGTATCGTCTGGTGATGCAGCTGTATCGAGACATCCCGAAAAATAAGTCAACTTGTGAGGAAGGACAGTGTAGTGAAGGTTCGTCCAAGACCAGGAAGACCGAGCGAGACAGATCATTGATATGATTCGTTCTGCAAAATACATTCCCATGCCCTTATTGCCCTATGCCGAAAAACTGGAGAGTGGATGGTCCTTGATCAACGCTCATGTGTATTTCGTTCTTTATTCCGGCTACACTACATAAGGATACACATTTTGTGCGCACATGCTATGCTATATAACAAGTTATATGATAGCTACAATGGAACTGAAATAAAATCATGATGAATGAACATTCCCCTTTAGAAATGTTGCAGGATTCTGTTACATTAAGAAGGTCATTAACACATACAGTTTTTCTCAAGATTGGGGCAGATGATGTCATGGAGCGATACGGTGGCAGCTGGACACATCCTTTACACTGTTTATATTATTAATTGGAATCGGATTTGCTTTTATTGCAACTTTATATACATGCATAAAACCTTTATCAAATCATACTCGGGTGGCGGTGTGGTATGCGTGTGTGTTAGCCTAATAGTTAAAGCGTTCGTTCGTCGCGAAGAAAAAAACGGGTTTATGGAGTTCCACTTAGTAGGTGCATTGTGTGATGCCCATTTATAGTGTCCCGTCGTGATATTGCTTGATTATTGCTAAAAGCGGCGTAAAACTAAACTCACTCTTGATGCACTCCACGCACGGGTACGCTGGATTGTGCTGTCCTCCGCCATGACATCACTGAATGATTAATATGAGCTGCGTAAAAAAAATACTAACTCTACTAAATTCTACATGTGTCTCTCCACACTCAATTCAACACCCGATTATAGGTTCGAATCCGAGATCATCATCTTGTTTTGTAATCGCCACACACAAGCTCGTTGGTCTCACCAGTAACCCCCTAACACCTGCACCATAATAAGGTTCTCCTCCACTTCCTCACATGAGATGGTGTAACTGACGCTAGGTCGAGTTCCTTCTGTGTCAACTTCATGGAGTCTCATGTTTCTTCAGTGCTCCAGAGTGACTGAATTTTCGAGCACACTGATAATGCTGTGATCCGGTGTGACAACTGAAATAGGTCTGCAGATTTTCTTTTGTAGGAGACGCCTTCTGTCACGCCAGACAATGGAAAGGTTTCTGGGCAGAGTGTACTTTCATATGTGTGTTGAAGGTGTGTTTCAGACGAAATATCTTGTCACACACGGGACAAGTTAAGGCCTTGACCATGTCGACGTCAATGTGCACAACCATGTGTATTTTTAAGTAGGCCGCTGTTGAGAAACACTTGCAGCAGTATCCACATACAAAAGCTTTGTCGTCAGCGTGAACATAAACATGGCGATTTAACTGAGCGGCGGAGGAGAAGGTCTTGTCACACTGGAGACATTCGTATGCATGTATCCCGGTATGAGACTCCAAATGTTCTGTCAGGCGGGAACACTGAGTATACGTCCGCTCACATAACCCACAACCAAACACAGAATCTCCCTTCTTGTATCCTATATGTGCACGAATGTGTTTGTACAGGTCCCCTGTGCTGTTAAACGTCTCCTCACAGATCCCGCATCTGAAACATTCCTTGTCGTGTATCAACTTGTGTTTGCCCAGAACATCCGCATCAGCGAAAGACTTGCTGCAAAGCTCACACACAGGCAAAGCCTCTTTATGGTGTGATGCTTTATGTTTATCACATGCAGCTTTAGATTCGAAAGTCTTTGAACAGTTATCACACTTGTAGGTCGTCAGTTCCGGGTGCATTTTCATGTGTTCCTTCAAGTTCCGGGAAACTGCGAATCTGTTCTCGCACACAGGGCACTGGTATGGCTTTCCATCTGTGTGGCGCTTTGAGTGTTTCTGAAGGTTGCTCTTTAGTTTATACGCCTGATCACATACATCACACTTGAACGGTCTGGCGTCATTATGTCTGACCATGTGACTCTTCACACCCGACTTCTGGGAGAATCTTTTCGCACAAAGTTCACATCCATATGGCTTCTCCCCAGTGTGGACTCGCAAGTGAACTATCAATTCCGCGGGGTTACGAAATGATTTCTTACATACTTCGCAGCTGTAGACTTTGGGTTTAACCTCTCCCCTTTCCGACTTTGGTTCCATTTCCAGTTTCGTACGCCTGCATGGAAATATGGTATCTGTATATGTGGACGAGTGAAATCAAGCCGATTCTCACCATTGCATACATTTATATAAAATATACATACATATTTTATGTTATTCATAAATAGGATTACAGACATAATAAATTCAATACAATGTTAGTCGTGTATTTGTCTGGATTTTTTTAATAAGAAATATATGCATGAAAAACTGGTGTTTGTCATACTTACATTACGACCGTATAGTGTCAACCTTCTTAACGACTTAGAAGTGGAATCAGAGTGGTAAAACCGTTCATTGGTTCTCACTCTTTCTTCATATGATATATTTCTGCTTAAAGTGACCGTAAAACAAAACCAATACACATTTTGCTTATAAAATTCTAAGCCACGTTATTATTTCAAAATTACAGATTTCCGTACGAAACGATATTTATTCATCAGTATACTTTTTGCGTGAAATGAAATGGCATTTAGAAGCTGGTGTGATGAACAAAGGAGATACTTCCACAGATATACAACTTCTTTATTATAATATAAGAAACATAAGCATGAAATGAGGATCGTAAACGGTTGTTAGCCTTACAGAAGCGCCACTGAAGAAGCGGGAGGCAGCAGCGATATAAGCGAGACAGCGGGCGCGCTATACTGCGATAATTGCTCACTGTCATCGCAGGTGGGCTGCGCCCGGTAAAACTGCATTCTTGACGGCTGTTGCCCAAATCCATGAAACTATCTTCCTTGTTCATCATCGTTTCTGGGAGCCACACTCATCGTGAAAAAATCTCGATCCAACTTTACCGTCGGGGCTTATCAAAAAGGCTGTTTTGTTTCTGATGACCCAAGTTGAGGACACATATTTGTTCTGATACGAAATAACCAACATTATAGCATTTGTTCAGCGCGGCGCTGGAAGCTGGAAGGTAGCCAGCTTATAAATTGTTGTAGAAATAAGTCTGTATTCTTCACCCAAACAACGGCTCCAGCAGCTTGTGAGTTACATTGGTTTTAATTTCTGTTTGGTCGGCTTTGGGAAGTGCGTCGGCGACCTTGTGCTCGTGGATCTGACCGTCATCGGTTCGCTGTGGCCTGGATCGAGGTGCTTGTGACGCGGGGCCTGTTATGGAGCGGTCAGGCGGTTGATGTTTCATCGGTTTGGTCGGTCCGCAAACGGTGCTGGGTTTGCAATACGGGTGGGCGATTAGGGACTGGGCGACGTCTTGCGGTGCTGGATCGGTTAGCAATGTTCCGGCAGGCGATAAAGCGGTCTTGTGCGTTGTCGGTTGGTCGAGACAGGCCGGTGATTAATATCATGAACACTTAGGGCTGCGCCGTTTCTTGACTCGCGTGGGCGTGGGTGAGAAATGAGAGATGGTGCGTCTTGTTATGAGTCATTGGATAGTTGGTCATCTGGCAATTGTTTGATGTCTGAACGCCAGGTCTAACCCGGACTCTTCAGAGGGACTGAAACCGATTTTTCGCTTCTGTGGAATACGCATGCCAAGAACTGGCGGATCGATTTTAGCGTCGCGGTAATCATTTACGACCATATGTTTAATCGATAAATGTGAGGGTGTCTCTGTTTTGGCCCGGTGAAGATCCGGGCTAGGAGTGATATTTAGTAATTCGTAGCTTGTCGATAAACAGGTTTTCTAAGGGGATCGAATTGGTCAGAATCACTGACTTGGCTGACACATGTCATCGTATTCCAAATTGCAAAAATCGATGTTCTTGCTGTTGATGACTGGATTGTCTGGTCCAGAATATGCGCGTATAAGACCAGTCTCTGATATATCTGACAATAGAATTAATCTACCGAATCTTCACGAACTTTTAACCAAGGTCCATGTTAATTACTACTTAAACTAGTAAGCATCATAGGTAATTGATCTAGATTCAATCCACATAAATATATTTGGAATGCTAAAAGTGAATTTCTTGTGATTGTGGAAAGAGTTTAAACGCGCTTATTAAACATGATATTATTCACACAAGTGAAACCGGAATTGTAATTTAATATAAATGATATCTATCTCTGTATATGAAACATTATATAATCGCATATGAAATGTACCACGTGCATTCCACTGCGAACATTTGAATGAGACTTATCTTGACTTGTGCTTTTTCGTGTCAGTTACATTTTATGACACGTTCTGGAACACCGAAGTTAGGAGTCGGTATGAGAGACACGCAATGTCATGTTCATGTTAATAGTATGTAGGTCTGTAGGGCAACCTAGTGGTTAAAGCGTTCGCCCTTACGCCGAGGATCCGGGTTCGATTCCAAACATTGGTACACCGTGTGAAGCCTATTTCCGGTCTCGCCCGTAGTGATATTGCTCGAATATTGCTAACAGCGGCTTAAAACTATACTCAGCCACACACTCACTAATACTGTCTGTCAATTACCCCTCACATAAGGTCATGATGTGTATTTCATTAAACCGTATTGTGATTCAGATATGAAAGTTTTCCTCATGTTATGTGGACACAGTTCACGTGTCATCTTACTAGCTGCTTCCAGCTGACTGACTCTTACAGTGAGAAGTACACAGTGGAATCCAGCCCCCTTCCCCTTCTCTGACACAGCTATAGGTGAAGCAAGTAGAAATGGCAGTAATTGGGCAAACGTTTTTTTCCATCTTCCCCAAAGTAATAACAGGTGACCGAGTAACACTTGAAGACCACAAACGTACCGTATATTGTTATCGTTTCAAACACCAAGTCGGCCCGGTTCCATGTCTCGGCCTGGTGAGAGAACCAGGACTTGATTGATGGTGTCATGTCCAGACGTGTTGTTATCAGGGTGCAATCTGATAATGGCGTCTCGCCGCTTGTTGATAATATGGGCATGCAATCAGATGGTGAAAGCCTAGATCCGTTTCAAATGGTTCTTATAGATGTTCGGTTTAAGCAGAGTCAGAATCAGAACAAAGTTGCGTAAACCGTCTAAAATGGAAATCGAACAATGAGCGTTCAAGATCGTTGAAAATTTGATGGTTCTAGCGTCGTTGATAATGTATTTGTTAAATTGCAGATGCTTGTGACTAATTTGAGTGACGGGTGGTGTTAGCGCAGTTCAGATGTCGATTGGAATTTCGTGGACATAGGTAGTGTTGGGAATGGACGGGATGATAGTGGTTTGATGTTGCGTTGGTATCGCAGGTGTGCATACGATCAATGTGTCGAGTCGATTGGTGATTAACAGGTGCATTTTGGTACGCTGCCACACATTGCTGTTTTGCAGGACGTCGATGTTTCTAGGGACGCAGGGGCTGTTGTCATCGAAGGCCCAGGACTGGCTTCCACTGTTATTTCCCAACTGTTCCAGGAGGTTGGGATCGAGCTCCGGTTCACATAAGAAAAGGCTCGATTGATAGGTGACGTTTCTGTTGATAAATCACGTGTGCCATCATTTCTGTACATGAGACGGTGCTGAGGGCGGATTCCGATGGTATTAAGTTTGCTCGGTAGCCACCGGGTGTTGACGGGTCGTATTTTGAATGTCCGCGGTCAGTCGCGGCGAATTTACGTATGTCAATGCACCGATCGAGATGCCATCGGTTTTAATGGTAAGAGACTGCTTCGTTTGAGATGGCTGTACCGCAAAGGAGCAAGTCCGAGGCGTCTTCCACGTAGGGCCAGGTGGGGAGCCTATGGCCTGACAGTACACGGCTGCCTCCGCCCACGATGCTGTACACACGGATGAGGCTGTAGCAGAAGGTGTCGTAGTGCAGTGAAACCACTTGGACAGGACTGACACCAAACACACCCGTGGCTGTAGCCAAGATGAGGGTCACAGTTACACCAAGCAGCTTGAACATGACTGGCCAATGTTTGGAACGATACTGAGAAGTTGTGTGTATAACGATGGTTGGAACGTATTAGTGGCAAGTTTGTCCGCTACTACGCCTTTATCTGAACAGGATTATCTCAGAAGAAAGAACAGTACAATAACTAAAGTAGACAAAACTCGTTGAGCATTGCTACCAACATGTCTGTTATCGAAAGGTGACCGAGTATATATTCATGTCCCTCTCCCTGATTACAGGAGAAAGCAACATATCTAATCTAATTAATATAATATCAGAAATCCTTAATCATTTACGTTGTCCAGATATGATAGATCGTGATGCTCATTTTTGCATACTTGCTTGTGAGTTATTTTTTTCTCTCGCTGATTGGATAAAACAACATAACATCTAGATATATCATATAGTTGGTGGAGTGGTTGGGCAGGATAAAACCAACGGATAAAGTGCAGTATCCGTTGAGGAGTCCTCTCACGGATACAGGTGTAAATATGAGATAGTCAGTTAGAAACTACTTTCAAAGTTTAGACATACACCCGTGCCAAACGAGGTCTGTGAACTGGGTTCCGGGCTTGTTTCAAATGTGACATGCGCTTCATTACGCCCGTCAAGATAATGGGTTTATCAAAATAGATTCATCATGTTGGGACTCCTGTTTCCTCTGTGAGGACTAGAATCAACTTTCACAACACGATAAACATTGATGTGAGGAAAATTAGGGTGTTACGTCGCGTTAAAGATTATTTCAGGAGAGGAGGAATGTGTGCATAATCTCATGTACGTCTGCAGGTACTTCACCTGTTTTATAGACCACCAGGGTTTCTACAGTTTCGCATGAATAACCCCCCAGACACATTGCACGGGTGTCGAGCCAACTAGTGCTGGTGAGGTGAGGTGAGGTGAAATTGGGTTTAACGTCGTGCTTGAGAATATTTCGTTCATATGACGACGTGCATGCGTGTGTATGTGTATGTGCGGCTGCTTGTACTAGCCCAGACTTAGGCTGGTTATATAGTGCTAGCCCACTGAGATACCATGCCGCAGTGAAGCATGAATACCCCACTCAGACACATCATACTGACTTCGAGCCGATCAGTCCTTGTTGTAGCCATTAATGCCGAGCGCCAGGCAGGAACCAACAAGTACCATATTTTAACGTCTTTTGGTATGACGCGGTCGGGGATCGA